AGCTTTAGTGATCTGATTGGTACATAAATTTGAATAATAAGTGGATTAATTGGATTCCATTTAATGCAAATAGATATGCTATCACTGGAAGCATTGTACTTCAAGATAGACCTTGAAATGTATTTTTAACAATGAATTTGACTTCCATCCTCTTTAATTTGTCATTTTTGTTATTGTAAACTGCATGAATTTCTAATTAAAAATGGCCATTACCAGTCAATATCAGCTCACTTGTGCCTAGAATGTTGATACTTTGGGGTACAATTTCATTTTGGAAAACTTCCAATTTTCCAAGATTCATACTTTGTGCATTCCAAGTTCCAATTATTAATACATACTCACAGCTGTATGTTCTCATAGTGAGCCATGCCCCATTAGAAAATGAAGTTCCCAAAGGGATTATTAATCCCGAAGGCTGTGCTCCATGTCCTATGGTCCACTGCTCTTTGAGAAGGCATCTCTTCCTCATCTCCTTTGAGCGCCTGCTGACCAGAAGAGCCCACGTTCTAGCACCGTCTGTTCTGGTAGCGTTCTTTAAGTGATATTACTTAGTCTGTTCTGTTAATAATATCTTTAAGTGATATTACTTCAGAAAATAGCAAAGGATGATCAGTGTTGATGATGATGAATTGTGGATTGAGTGCAGCAAAGTAATACAAAGAGGTTATCTGCATGAGTTAGCCTCAAGGAACACATCTGAGATTAGAAGAAGGAGGCAGTCGGTGGGGTTGAATAAGTAAGTTTCCAAGTACAAAACTTAATGACTCTAACATCTAGTGGGGTGTTTTTTTTTTAGATTTTGAAATTCTTTAGAAAATATTCTTGCATTAAATGGAATGCGAATTAAAAGTGAAAGTATTTATGACTCTTCCCTGTGTACCTTAATGCCTACAGCATAGTAGTTATTGTTAATTATGAAGGTGTAAGAAATGCTGAGTCCTGCACCAAATTTTGAGTGCCTTTCAGTCTACAACATTCATATTCAGGCACAATATGGACCCCATGACAACCCTATGCCAATCACCACAAGACACTGCAAGGCCCTGTGCCATCCTCACAATTGTTCCTAAGCCTGAGCCCACTGATGTGCTACTGTGTCAACTCATCTTTTGAAAAGCCTTCTTTTATTGCTGAGCTTCCACTTTACCAAATATGATATCCTTCCCCAGAGAATGGTCCCTCTTGTCCAAAGTGTATACGACAAAGTATTTCCATCCTTGCCTCTAAGGAGCTCCAATTCACACCAGTCTGCCTTTTAGCAGTTCGTGGTATATTCAGTATTCTTCTTCAGCACCACAATTAGAATGCATATATTCTTCTGTCATCTTCCTTACTCAATGTCCAACTTTCCAATGCATAGGATACAGTACAGAATATCATGGCTTGGGTGAAGTGCGCCTTGGTTGTCAACACAATATCCTTGCTCTTCAGTATTCTAAAGAGGTTGTGTGCAGCAGATTTACCTAATATAATACATGTTTTGATCTCCTGATGGCTGTTTCCATGAGCATTGGTTGTGGAGCCAAGCAAAACAAAATCCTTGACAACTTCAAACTTCTCCATTTTCATGACGCTACCCATTGGGTCTGTTGTGAGGATAGTGGTCATCCTTACGTTGAGTTGTAATCCATACTGAAGGATGCAATCATTGATCTTGGTCAGCAAGTGCCTCAATTCCTCCTCACTTTGAGAAAGCAAGATTGTGTCATGGGCACACTGCAGGTTGTTAATAAACCTTCCTTCAATCCCGATGCCTCATTCTTCTTCATCTAATCCATCTTCTTGGATGATTTACTCAACATACAGATTGAACAATTTGGTGAGAGGATGCAACCCTGACACACACCTTTCCTGATTTTAAACCATGCAGTAGTCCTTTGTTCTGTTTGCACAACTGCCTCTTGATCCATGTCTAAGTTCTGAATGAGCACAATGAAGTGTTCTGGCATTCTCATTCTTTCCAAGATTATCCACGCAGTCAAATGCCTTTGCATAGTCAATGAAACATAGTCACTGTGAAGATCATAGGTGTTTCCCACCTCAATTTGGAGACCACCTCATGAACACATTTGATGCATTGAGCACTAATGACAGAAAACCTGATGAGCTATAGGAGGACTTCAAGAGCATCATTCACGATGAAAGCAAAGGGCCATTCAAAAGATAGGAAAGAAAGAAGTGGGTATCAGAAGAGACTCTGACACTTGATCTTACTTGTAGAGTAACTAGGACACATGGGGAAAGGGATGGCATCCAGGAGCTGAATAGAAAATTTCAAAGAGCAGGTCAAGAAAACAAAGTCAAATACAATAACAAATGTGCGAGGACCTAGAATTTGAAACCCAAAAAGTAAGAACATGCTCAGCATATCTGAAACTGAAATAATTCAAGAAAAAATTCAAACCTCAAGTTGCAATTTTGAGAGATTTTATAAGGAAAATATTGAATGATGCAAAAAGAATCAAGAAATGATAGAAAAAATACACAGCCACTGTACTAAGAGAGAGAGCGAGAGAGAGAACTAATGTGCATGCTTTCATTTCAGAAGGTAGCATATGAACAGAACCACTGCACTGAATGCCTTAGCCAAAAACAAGGATGCACTAATCGATGGAATACTCATTGCAGTGTTTCAGAAAGCTGAAGAAGCACTGGAAGCACTGGTCTATTCCAGGAAATTTGGAAGACAACTACTTGGAGAAATGACTGGAAGATCTCCGCATTTGTGCCTGTTCCAAAGGAAAGTTACCAAACAAACCACTCAACCTATGTGACAATATTACTGGTACCCCACACAAGTAAAATAACAAGATCATCTAATGATGATTGTCGCAGTACATTGACATGAAGCTGCCAGAAGTTCTGGCTGGTTTCAGAAGAAGAACATGCAATAATGGATATCACTGTTGATGTCAGATGGATCTTGGCTCCAAGCAGAAAATACCAGAAAGATGTTTACTTGTGTTTCTTGAACTGACAGCATAGGATCCAGCATTATAGTAACACCCAAATCCGACCGTACAACAAGCGGACAGACTAATGTACCATATGGTAGGGACTCAATAAATATTTGTGACCCAGCTATCATAACTGGCATAATAACAAAAACTCACAACAACTGAAATTAAGCTATACTCTTTCATCTCAGAAACTGATTGGAAAATAAAATGTTGATTTTCTTTCACAACCTGGATTAGATGCTGATGATTTCATACTTTTGCGGGCCATTGTTTTATACTCTTTATTTTTGCATTGCTTCAACATTTTCTTACAAGGACTGAAGTGATTTAAAAAAATATATTTCAAGATTTATATATAGATGACAAACTTACAAGTAGAACAGCTATTTATACTTGTGATATGTATATAGTCTGGGTCATTCTGTATAATTTCCCTCCTTGCCGTTAGATAAAGACAGTCATTTTCATTTTTACAGTTTAAGAAATGTCATTACAAACTAATGTACTCATTAGATACTGGGTACAGGTAATGCAGAAATGTTTACTTTGTGCACAGTGCACATCGGTTGATATACAGATTTGATTATTTTTAATCAATTTATTGGGGCTGATACAATTCATCACAATAAATAGATCAATTGTATAAAACACATCTATACATTTGTTGCCCTCATTATTCCCAAAATTCGCTTGCCTCTTGGGTTCCCGGAATCAGCTCATTTTCCTTTTTTCCCCCTCCCCTTCCCTTCCTCCTCCCCTCTCCCCCATGCACCCTTATTAAATAAATAAGAATTTTTCTTAAAATCTCTAGCTGTGTTTAAGTGGTAGGCACTATTTGTTCATTTCTCCTTCACCATTTCCTCTTACCTGAAATAAATTAGCCACTCATGTTCATTTATTCATTTTACTAATAAAGCAATCCCATGATCTTAGATTTAATTTTTATGAAAAGTTTCTCTTTTTTTTCTTTATCAGTTCTACATTTACATGGTCAGATCCATTAACTTGAGTAATTTTTATTTAGATTAACAGCTCATCGATCTGTTAGTACAACCTTTCTTTATGGTACTTTTCTTAGTGCTACACATGATGCTATTTTGAATTTCTGAAATGTTATAAACCGCCAGATTGCTAATTACTTCAGATGCTGTGAAAAATAATTACTCCACATTATTTTGATATTTAATTGACAGTGTAAGGCATTTAGCTAAAGACCTGCAGTAAACTATTTCTAATTACGGAGGGTGGTGGGGCGTTAAAGTAGGCTGTAAAACTTTACAAGGGAAAGAACGTTTTCTCCATTACATTAAAAGTCATAGTTGAAAGAGAAAAACAAATGAAAATGCCCGTAAATGGAAAGCTCTGAAAATTCTAGAGAGAGCTGTGATATAGTTCTACATATGACATATAAAGTATTTTATTATTATTATTATTATAATTTCTGAATCCATTGTACTAATAATGGATGTCACATACAAAATTTACTATACCTGCACTAAAAATGCTCCTCCTTCAGTGGGCAGAACTTTATGAGGGAGATAAACATACCCCTGCCAGAATGAGAAATCTTTGACACTGGTCTTCAATTTGTTACCCATCGACATGAATGTAGTGGAAAGGCTATGCCACACTGTAGATGCTATTGAAATATGCAGATATATCAGGAACTAAGTCTATCCTTGACTCCCAGTGTTGGTAACTGATCTTAGAAAATAACATTTGGGACTTGACACTGAACCCTAAACTTAGAACAACAAAACACCTCAATGCAAGGACACGCCATTGTCTAGAAACACAACAAATGGGACACCAAGGATGCTAGCATTTTTGAAGAGCTTTTGATGTTTTTGTTTGTGTTCTGTGGTGGCTTTAGGATATTATTCATAACCAGCATAGTCTTTTTCCCTCCCAAAGACCTGGTCAAATGATCTTCAATGATATTTTTATGTAATTGTTGGTTTAATTAGTTATGTGTATTTTCCATAACAGACAAGTAGTGTAATTGACCTATTTCAGGGAATTTAAATTATTTTCAGAATCTCAGAAATTGAAGTGGGATAAGAGGAAGGAGAAAATGCTGGGCTGGTGTGAAGCAATAGCCCGTAACCCTCACCGATTCCCAAGCAACACACGGACACCTGAGATTGCAGGGGACTCGGCGGATGGCTCCCAAACCCCCACATTGGTGAGTGAAAAGTATTTTACCTCAAAAGAAATTGTCTGGAAATCAGTGCTAAATATATGGGCAGGGAATGGATTTTTAAGATGAAATTATTTGTGTTTATAACAATATTTGATTTGCATTTTCATGGTGCTTTTCATACATACCCAGTTTAATTAATGTTGCAAGACAGACATGAAGCACCTTAATATCATATAAATTAAAGTTTGATTCGAGTTAAAGAACTAGTCCTTATTTCTGTTGCATTTGGACATCATTCTTTAATTAGTTCATGACCTGAAAGGAGGCTTTTTTAAATTGGCGAAGCAATAAAATTTATTCGTTTTATTAAATCCTGAACTTGTACTAGGGGATCTTTAATAATCCGTGTGATGGAATGGGAAATACATTTGTGAAACATGATCTACAGCCTACCCAAATGCATAATGGTCTCAAAGAAAAACACTTCTGTGGTTTGAATTGTGAGCTGAAATAGCCATTTTGTTTTTAACTTTTTATTGTGATTTGATGAAGGTATATGAAATAATTTGGTTTTCCATTCAATAATTCATAAATCTTTTCCTTTGTGCCACTCATTGCAATGGAACAGCTCCCTTCGCGTGTCCTTGTTGTGTCCACCATTTATATTAGTCCTTCTTTCCTATCACTGGGTGCCCTGTGCCTTCAGATGGTTGATCATTCAACGAAGTGCATGTATACCAGGTATTATCGTTCACCTTATAAGCTGGTTTATTGTTTGATTGCAAATTGAGTCACAAGGATTGCTTAAAGGGCACCCTGGTGGTGAGTGGGTTACGAACCGCATTGTAAGACATGAGATCAGCAGTTTGAAGCCATCAGCTCTTCTGCAGAAAAAGATGAGAATTTTTGTACTCCTGTAAGATGTACAGCCTTGGAAACCCACAGTGTTCCTCCCTGTCCTTTCGTCACTGCGAGCCAGAATCTGCAGTGAGTTTGGCTTGAGTCGAAGAGCCGGACTGGCAGGGCTCTACCAGTAGGCCTGTTTTGTTTTTTGTTTTTTCTTGCACAGCTTTGTTAGATGGTGTGTTCACATTCTATCCAGGACCTCCTGTCGTAGCCCCTTTCGAATCGGTCAGCATTGGTAGTGCACATTGTCTAGTTCTTCTCTCTTGGGACGTAGATGCTGGGGTTTCCATGCTCTCTATAGTCTTTTGAACTAATTATTTACATGAATCTTTGATTTCCTTCACTCACCTCTGTCCTGAATGCAGATATACCAGTAGTTGAATATCAAGCTTTGGAAAGTCGAATAGCTATTTACCAAAGTAAGATATGGAGCACTGATTGACATTTTGGACAATGTTAAGCCCACTGGTCTTATTGTTCTCTTTGATACTATGGTGCTGAGCACCGAGACATGGCCACACGTGCCTTCCTGGTTTTTTGGTTATAGCTATGTAGCTTTCATAACTTGCCCTCTGTGCTCTACTACAACTCAACTACAACGTTAGATGTACTTGCAGGGGTTATAAACACATCTGTATAATTATGCTCTATCAAGCCTACATATATCCATATGTATAGTACTATTTGCCTTCCCACTAGTGTTGAGCTTGCATGTCTGTTTTGTTCAGTGATCGTTGCTATTACCTTCGTTGCCGACTTGTGTATTAGTGTTTCCCTCAGTTGACTTTAGCTCTGTGCTTCTTCCAGTGTCTCCTTCCTTTACCGTAATCACTTTGTGCTGACCTTCCCCTACTGTGTATTGGGTTCCCCTTTATCTAAGTTAATATGTGTCGACCCTCCAGTTAGTTATCTGTTTTCCTCTATCCTCCCATTCCTGCCGACCATAAACTATATTTCTTTATGTGTATAAAGCTTTTCTTGACCTTTTATGGCACCGTGTTTGTCCTTTTGTGATTGATTAATTTCATTCAGCATAATGTTCTGTACATTCATCTGCTATGAGGTGATTTATTATAATTCTATAACTTTATACAGTATTTTTGTGTGTTTGCACTATAGCTTGCTTATGACCACATTATACATTGTTTCCATCATTCTTGATCTTTTCTGATTACATTATTTGTCTTTTTTTGTTAATGTATACTTGTTGGTTTCTATAAAGTTTGGAGATTATTCCTAGTATCTTAGGTCATTGTCAAAAAAACTTTCCTTGTCTTTAGGTTCTCGTTTTAATCTTTTGATAAAGTCTCAGTGCATATGCATATTTAATTGTAGGAGGTCTGTGATAGGTCTGTTTATTGTGCCAACCTGGCCAATGAGCACATGCAGGACTAATTGAAGGGCAGAGAGAGAAATGGCTGGGCCAGCCTCGCTTTTCTGGTCTCTTGGTCTTTGATGATTGGACCCGTGTGCAGCTGCTTTAGCTGGTTCTCTGCCTCTACCTGGGAGCTACACTATCCATGGGACACCTAACCCATGGACTGTGTTGTGGTAGTTTGAGTTATAGACCTGCTTCACCACACTACTGGAGTATACATCGCTTGAGGTGTGGACTGTTCGACCTTGTCATCTGTTTGACTGTTGGTGACCTGCCCTGCTGTTTGCTGCCTGTGGCCGGATTGCCTGAATTGCTCTACATAGGACTCAGCTGTCTGCTTCCTTGACTTGCACCTGACAGCCCTCAAGATTTGAAGTACTGCCAATGGATTAGCTGTCTCACAGAAGTGAGTTGCACTGAGCCATTTGTACTGCTCTATAGGCTAATTAGCTGTTTATTTCTTATGATATATCTATAATCATAAGTGTCCTGGTTTTGTTTCTCTAGGGAACCCTGTCTAACATTATTGGTACCAGGAGTGGTTCTAGAGAAACAAGATCATAAATATGGGCTTCTTAAATTGGCTTTCCAGCCCGATTAGGCTTAATAGCACTGATAATGCTATATTTACCTGTAAAGGCATGTATAAGTCTGCTACTCTTACTAATTCATGGTGTGAAGTAGCAAAGCTAATATCCACAGTATCACCACCAATATATGAAGTGCTGGTGAGAGGAAAGACTCTGGGTGATCGTATGTTTGATATTTTACAGCAGTTTCGTAAGGATGACAAATATAGGGAAGCTGGTTGGCTGGTCCTCCTTACAATAGAAAATGTGATCAAGGAAAGCGATCATCTCAGAACCTCAGAAACATATCTCAAGTCCCAAATCACAGACCTGACAGCTTCTGCCTGTGCTACCAAGGAGAGCGTTCTCTCCTCCAGTAATAGAGCTGACATTGCTGAGAACCAGGTCCAGAGTCTCGTTATGCAAGTGACTGAATTACAATGTTGACTGAATTGCAGATCGAGAGCCAGGTCTGATACTAAAGTAAGGCCACTGATAGGAAAACGTTGGGACACTGAAACATGGGATGGGAACTATGGGCTGATGATCCAGAAGATGAGGATATTGAGCCCCTAGAAACGATTGAGTCACCCCAGTCAATAGATCCACCTCTCCCAGCTGAGGAGATTAATCCACTATCAGGAACACAACCCACACCAGAGCAGATTAACCAAACTGTTCAAGCTGAAATACCAGGTGAGGCTGCATCTGTAGCACTGCCTGATGCTGTACAAGATATTGCTGAGAGTGCCCAGGAAACACCCTCACCACCCATTATTTCCTCTAGACCTGTAACTAAATTAAGTCTCAGACAGCTCCTACAGGTGAGGCTGAGATGATTACTCATGAAGAAGTGCATGATACTCATAAAGATCTGCTCAAGTTTTCTAATATGTACAAGCAGAAGCCTGAGGAATATCCCTGGGGATGGTTACTAAGGGTGTGGGATACTGGTGCATGGAATGTAACATTAGACCAATCTGAGTTTCTGGATAGGGGACCCCTAAGCACAGATTCTTCTTTCAATGTCTCAGTGAGAGAGGCTAAGAGAGGATCTAATTCCTTATTTGGTTTGTTCACTGAAGCATGGACTGCCAGATGACCTAGATTAGACCAACTTGAAGTACCTGACCTATCTTGGTACACTGTAGAGGAAGGCATCCAAAAGCTTGGAAAAATTGGTATGTAGGAATCGATCTATCAGGATATTCCCATAGACCCAAAAGGTGGTGACCTGAGGATATACCCTTCACCACAACCCTAAGGAACAAGTTTGTGAAGTGGGCCCAGCATCTCTGAAGACTCCTGTGATTGCTATTTTATGTGTATCAGGATTAACAGTGGGCACTGCCCTAAGTGAACTCAGACATTTGCCTACAGTGGGGCTGATTGGGCCCCATAGTGGTAGAGGACAGGTGTCAGCACTGAATCAACAGAGACAGGGTGGACGTGGTTGGCATAAGAGAAAGGAAGATTTCTGTAGTAAGCAAAGCAACCTGTCTTGTGTGGACTTATGACATTGGCTACTTAGCCACGGTGTCCCTAGGAATGAAATAGATGGGAAACCTACTAAATATTTACGTGATCTATACAGGCAGAAGAATGGTAGATCAAGTGATCGATAGACAGTCACAATCAGTCAAATCCCAGACCTGAGCCAGTTTACAGACCCACAACCCCTTGAATGAGGGGGAGGCCGGGTCCCTTTGAAGGAGGACCCTGCTACATCAGCGAAGGTCTATACTGCTATACTTATAAGGCTATACTTCTGGCCTTCCCCAAAGGGACCTGTGGCCTTTCACAAGAGTGACTGTTCATTGGGGGAAAGGAAATAATCAAACTTTTCGGGGATTACTGGACACTGGCTCTGAACTGACACTAGTTCCAGGAGACTCAAAGTGTTTCGAAGGCCCGCCAGTCAGAGTAGGGGCATATGGAGGTCAAGTTATCAATGGAGTTTTAGCTCAGGTACACCTCACCGTGGGTCCAGTGTGCCCCTTAACACATCGTGTCGTTATTTCCCCAGTTCCAGAATGCATCATTGGAATAGATATACTTAGTCACTGGCAGAACCCCATATTGGATCCCTGAAATGTGGAATCAGGGCTATTATGGTAAGAAAGGCCAAGTGGACACCATTAGAACTGCCATTGCCTAGGAAAATAGTAAACCAAAAGCAATACTGCATT